TTGGAGAATGTGAAGTCTCACTGCTTGGTCGGCAAGGTCTCTTCCCTGCTCAGCTGAAACTGGCGGGAAGCCCATGCTGCCAGCGGCCCACCCCTCCACCCCCCTACTCTTGACCCCCACTCAGGAAACTGAGGCCTGAGGTCCCAGGGAGATTACACAACTAGTTTGTTGCCAAAGTGGAGTGAGGTCACGCATCCCTGCTTTTCCCACCACCCACCCCCACCATAGCCTCACTTTGGATGACCTACACGTTCCTCCCTGCCCTGAGGAAACTACATTTGCCTTTGGCCCTTGGCCCAGTCTTCCCTCCTCCTTGGCTGTGTAGTGTGGAGGTTAGAACGGGATTCCCAGTTCATATTCCAGCTCCATTGCTTAATAGCTGAGTGCCCTTGGCAAGCTAGTTAACCTTTGCCTAGATCTCCTTATTTATAATATGGTGATAATAGTTCCCATTTCATAGGAGTGTTGTGAGTATGAAATCAGATTGTAATGTAAAATACTCGGCAGGTAGCAAGTGCTGATGCATGTAGTTATTATCATGGCATTCTTCTCACTGTAACATCTAAAACTTTTTTAGGTGGCCAAACTTCATTCTTAGGAGTTTCTGACAGTTGGAAAGTGCAGGTTGGCCCAGGGTCCTTAACTGAATTTTTGCCTCCTTCCTCACCCCAGGAAGACTGCCAGCCTTGTTTCAGCCTGGCCCTAGGACTGCTGTCCGGAACTGTTTACTCCAGGCATCTGCTCAGCGCAGCATTGCCCTAGGGAGAAAGAAGGGTCAGTTTTGCCGAGCCTCTCCAGCCCTGAACACCATGGGAAAATGGAGATGGGCTGTGAGGGCCTTGTTTTCACTCTGGCATTCCTTCATTTACTCATTCATTCAGTCGTGAATCAGCCAACATGTATATTGAGTGCCTGGGAGGCCCTGAACTGGGGAATGTGGAAATCGCAAAGCTGTATTAGACACAGCCCCTGCCCTGAAACCTACAAAAGAGGGATGCTAGAGAAAATATTAACAGTGCTATGGAGAATTTTTAAGAATCTGTTTTCCTTTCTTGGATGTTCCACAGCCAAATCCCTACGCTTTGCATTCTTCCCTAGGTCATGGGTGACTGGCTCATTTTTTTTCTCTCCTGTCTTCAGGAACATTATACCTTAGTGCTGTTTTTTTAAAAGTCTTTCCTGGGCTGGCCCCGTGGCTTAGCGGTTGAGTGCGCGCACTCTGCTACTGGTGGCCTGGGTTTGGATCCTGGGCGCGCACCGACGCACCGCTTCTCCGGCCATGCTGAGGCCGCGTCCCACACACAGCAACTAGAAGGATGTGCAACTATCTACTGGGGCTTTGGGGAACAAAGGAGGAGGATTGGCAATAGATGTTAGCTCAGAGCCGGTCTTCTTTAGCAAAAAGAGGAGGATTAGCATGGATGTTAGCTCAGGGCTGATCTTCCTCCCAAAAAAAAGTCTTTCCTGATCGTGGGAACTTTCTCTGGAAAACGCTTTATTAGCAGATGTCACTGAATCATTCCATGTGTTGGTTTGACATTTTGTTCTCATTCCCTTTCTTAGGCTGCCCTCCCAAAGGCCACCGTACTGGATCTGTCCTGCAATAAACTGACTGCTCTACCGGTAAGACTGGCAAGCAGGCACGATTCCTTCTAGAGCCCGATGCTTCTCCTTCCTTTTTGGGGGACTTGTATCATAGGCATAATCTCAGGACAGGCCTGCACGCAGGCTACAACTGAATCCGAGTGTGTTGGGGGTGGAGTGGGGTGGTTGTCTCAGTGGGAAGGGAAGCCAGGTATAGAGTCCTCTTTCTTTAGAACAACGGGAAAGTCAGGCCACGAAAACTAAAGTCAACAGCTGGGTCACTTATTGGGTTCATCTTTTTTCTGCCTTATTTTATTCCTTTGAAAAATAGTTTACCTCCCTATTGCATAGAGGAGGCTAGAGACCATTTTGTAATTGCTCTGCATTCCAGAGAGAAAGCTGTTTATGAACAGCCTCCTTGTGCATCTTTTGATGGGGAACAGGAAAAAGTGTGATTTTATGGGACTACTGTATCATTGTTCTCCCAGTCCTTGAATTACTTGAGATACTTTTTCGTCTAGCATATCCAATCTATGGTCAAATCCTTTTGCTTTTTCTTGCACAACTTCTCCCAGTTCCCTTTTGCTCCAGCTGTGTAGGCACTGGAGTCCTTCAGCCCCGTCAGCCTCTCCTGGGTAATGGCAGTGCTCCTTCTCTGTCAGGCCTAAGTTTCTTGTCATTGTTGCCTTTTCCATCCATTACTGTGGCCATGTCACTCCTTGCCATACTCTCTTGGGCTCTGGCTCAGAGACCGAGTCTCAGAAGTTGGCACCTTCATTGGATCATTAGTCCGTTCTCCTCTCAGTATTCTCCTGGGTCTCACTTATCATCTATAGCATCTTCCCATAGCTATCAAGATCTGTTTCTAACATGGAAAAATAGCATCTGAGATCCCACTTTTTCAGGAAAGTATTTTCTCTCTCATTAAAGAAGGGTAGCAATTCCTTGCAACCTGACACCTGCTCTACACTCTGTCAGATGGTCACTCAGCACCCCAAGTGCAACTTTCAGGCTGAGTCTGTTCAGTTGTCGTGCCCTCCCTGAAGTGCAGATCCACTGGTGTTCACAAGTCCCCAGAGAACATGACTCATGTCTCGTTAGCTGAGGCTGGAGCATCACTTCAGCTGGGTGCTGAGCGAAGGCTTAGTGACAAGAGTGATGTTTTGAACTGTGCTGAAGAAGAGCCAGGATATGGGTAGGATGGGCCCTAGCCCCGTCAGTCAGTCAGTCATTCAGAGAACAGTCATTGAGCACCTGTGCTAAGTACTGTGCTAGGTGCTGCAAAGAAGGAATGCGAATAACACTGGGTGCTCAAGGGGTGCTTCGTCTTGTTAGGAAAATGGATGGTTGCACTATGTTTGACAGCTCCTGTGAGAGGTGAACGTAGGGTGCTGTGAGAGGACAGTGGGTCCCTAATCGCTCCAGGAGAGATGTGGAGGATGGGTTGGAAGGAGAACTGAGAGGGAAGGAACCCACACTTAATTTGTGTCTACTTTGTGCAAAGCCCTTTTGCATACGCCTCTCACTACTTCCCACCAGGGCTGATGAGTGAGTCCATTTTCACTGGATGTGGAATAGCTAGGAAAAGGTGGAGTCAAGATTTACACATAGGTGCCCCTGACTTGGGGGCTCCTGGACTGTTAGATGCAAGTGTGTGAGTCCGAGGCTCAGGTGTTCTCTCTTTGGGTCCTAGTCGGATTTCTGTGGCCTCACACACCTGGTGAAGCTGGACCTGAGTAAGAACAAACTGCAGCAACTGCCGGCCGATTTTGGCCGTCTGGTCAACCTCCAGCACCTGGATCTCCTCAACAACAGGCTGGTCACCCTGCCTGTCAGCTTTGCTCAGCTCAAGGTAACAATTCATGACCCCGTGTTTTGTGGCCAAGTGTGGCACAGGGCTCGGGAACGTGGAGCATGGCTGTGAGAAAGGCTGGCAGAGACACCCACCCTGTTGGAACTGCCTCAGATGGCTTTCCCTGCAGCTGGAACACAGAGGGACTTTCTTCCTGCTCATTTTGTTCCACTTCGAGGGACTCTGTGTGTGAACTTGGGCTTAGGCAGCCTCTCTGCCCCATCTCTTTAGAGCCTGAAGTGGCTGGACCTGAAGGATAACCCCCTGGATCCTGTCCTGGCCAAAGTGGCAGGGGATTGCTTGGATGAGAAGCAGTGTAAGCAGTGTGCCAGCAAGGTAAGACGAAGCTCCCGGTGTCACCTTCACATTCCCCCTTGGGACCTGCCTCTGCTGCCTCTTGTTTTCCGCCCCAGGACACTGTAGCTGTGTGTTGATTAAAGCACTAAGGTCTCAGTGAAACCTGTCTCCTATGAGCTATCAAGCAAAGGGACCTTTGTTTCTGTGTTTACTTCACAAGTAGTAGAATAATACCATCGTCTGCTCTACTGTAGTACTTCCATTAAGAAACTAGGACCTTGCAAGATCCAACACAGCTCTATGTCAACAGGTGTTTAAATGGGACAAGAGGGTTAGGGGCTGTGGCCTTTCTGAGTCACAGTTATGTAGGAATTTTGATAATAAAGGTATTGTTAATATTTGTAAGTTTATAGCTGTGAACAGGCACAGCTTGGGCAGATCTGGCATTTGATTTCAGTGGAGTCCTCTGACACAGGAGTGAGGAACTAAAGACAGCATGGAAGGCAAACATTGTTGGTGGCCAGTAGCCTTGAAGATGCCTTCCATTGCTTCTTAAGAATAGCACTATACCCACCTCTCAAAAACTCCAACTACAGTCGTTTCTTTCCCTCCAGCTTTAGAACACATTGCTGCTTCTCCAGCTGAGCACTGGATGACTTACATGGCTATGCTTAGGGGGCATGGTGAACAAAAAGATTTAACTTTAAATGCTAAAATTAACATAAGCGAAATGTGTGTATGATGGATCTCTATATGGATCTCAAGAGTAATGGCCTTTCTTTTCTTATTAGCTCAGGTCTTCTTATATAGTCTCATCATCTGTATCACCCATTGTTACAAGAAACCAAGCACAAAGTCAATGCAACCAAGTAGGCAAGGCAACAGTTTGCCCTTAGACGGGAATAGTACACGTGATCAGTGAATCCTGTTTTGAAGACTTGGTGCTTTAGGAGTGATGTCTGTTCTGAAGAGAAACAGTGGATACCACTGACCACTCATGCTTTACCTGTTTCATCTCATAATCGTCATGACCCTGGGAAGTAGGTATTACTTCCATTTCTCTGACAGGAGCAACCCTCAGTATGCATACACCTTTCATTTATCCACTTATTCATTCAACAAATAATATGTTGAACCATATGATACTGCTGATCCACAAAAGTAATTTTTACTGAGTGCAAATTTCTTTAGTACTCACATATATCTTCCAGACAAAGCTCCGGGTAGCACAGTGCATTTGTGGTAACTAAAGCCACGCTCCCTGGCACTGCTGCCCCAGAGCTTCAGCTGTCACCTTTAGGCATTGTAGGAGAGCGGCTTGGGGCAGTCAGAATGAGGTCATTTTTCTCCAGGAGTTAGTTTAGGTCTTACCAGCTCTGATGTAGTGGGTGCATGGATTAGTCATAGTTACTGATCAGCGTGGTGCAGAGTGAAGCACCTTTTAAAAACAATGTGTTAGTGCAACAGCAATCATCAAGTGCTTACTGTATGCGGTGGACTGGGATAGGTAGACCAATCTACCCTCCAGGGGCTCACAGTCTAGACTAGAGGAGTCTCTGATTTCTGAACCTGGTGTGTTTTCAGATAATTAACTCCTGATGTGTTGTAGCCAGAGTGAAAAAGGATATCTCTTAAACCTCTGAGCTCTTTATTTAGCCAGCTGTGCATCCCGTAAAACCAACTGAATAGTTGGTGCTTATTTAATAGTCAGAGTTCAGAGTGAGACAGAGACTTAGTACTGGGGCTGCCACCATCTGCCTCTCACTATCAAGCTTGACTTTGCTCCAGATCCTGCAGCTCCTCGTTGAGCAGCCAGTTTTTAGTAAACTTGACTTCCTTTGGAGAGGTGACAGCAGGTTCAAGTCCTAGGTTACCCAGGACAGAGTTCCTTGTGGCTTCAAACCAGGCTCTTGAAGGGAACTGCTTTTGCAGGCCTGCTCCGGAGCCCCTCTTATGATGGGTGTGTGCTTGTCTGAAGTTTCTACAAAATAAAAGAATTACATTTGAATACACGTCTGTTCTGGGCTGGCCCCGTGGCTTAGTGGTTAAGTGCGTGCGCTCCGCTGCTGGCGGCCCGGGTTCGGATCCCGGGCGCGCACCGACGCACCGCTTCTCCGGCCATGCTGAGGCCGCGTCCCACATACAGCAACTAGAAGGATGTGCAACTATGACATACAACTATCTACTGGGGCTTTGGGGGGGGTGGGAATACACGTCTGTCCTGCAGATTGTTTAGTACAATAATGAAACAGACAATTTGCTGTCTTAATTTAGAATAGTTTAAGTTTTCTTCTTATTAATGCAGTAAAGAAGATAAAGTAACAAGCAGCTGTATTTATTGAGCATATATAATGCCAGGGGTTATGTTAGGCAGCCAGTATAAGTTATGTAATTTAATCTTCACAACAGGCCAGAGGAGTCTGTCTTATCTCTGTTTCCCAGATGAGAAAATCGCCTCAGAAAGGTTAAGTGACTTGCTAAGGTCACACAGATAGTAGGTGGTAGAGTCAGGATCGTGTTGGGGTCCAAGTTTACACTCTGTCCCCTACATCCAAGGAATACCAGCTTCTAAAAAACATGAACAAACCAAAAAAAAAAAAAAGTCTTTTACCTTCTCCCCTATCCATTCCCATAGTGAGAATCTCTGGCTGTTTCAGTCAGAGATCATCCATGACTAAGTCGACGAGGATTGGAGGGGCTCAGGGTGCCAGTGCACTGTGTGGTGTGTGGGCCCCATGGGTCTTTCCCTTGCTGAAAAGTGCTCAAAGGAAGGAGCACTAGAAGTGAGCAGAACAACCTCTGGTCTGGGAACTCTGAAGACCCGCACTCGGGCTGTGCTGCTTTCGAGCCACATGACGTGGACTGATCGCCATATCAGAGCCTCGGTTTCCTTCCTTTTGAAATGGGAAGCCAGTCACTTCATCACACGTGTATTGAGTGCCTATTATTAGCTAAGCTCTATGCTCGCCTACAGACAGGGCAGTAGTCCCCCCTCTTAGGGAACTTAAGGTCTTATGACTGAGATAGATAAGGAAACTCCCCAGGACTGGGAGGAGGGGATCCTGCGGTAGCCGAAAGAGGGAGGTCAGGAAAGCATCTTAGGGGAGGTGCTGTCCCTGCTCATCAAGAGTTGCTGGGAGACTTAGATGAAATCGTGTGTGTAAGAGTGGTTGTAAATGGCGGGACTTCTTACAGATTCCACTTGGCATTGTGTTTCACAGACTTTTTTCTTGACAGTTCTAGTGACCTGGGCTCATATGACTCTTCTCCAAGTAGGGCTGGTGCAGTAAGTTAGGATACAAAGAAAGGATTTACTCCATTAACTCTGCATTGCTGCCAGGCCCAGGGTGATCTGGGACCTTGAGAAGAGCAGTCTGTTTTGAGACTCCGCTGAGCAGACATGTGAGCTGAGAAGACTACTGCTTTGAGTAATTCAGCTCCCTCCTTCCCCTTTGCAGGTGTTACAGCACATGAAGGCCGTGCAGGCAGATCAGGAGCGAGAGAGGCAGCGGCGGCTGGAAGTAGAACGAGGTAGGTGGCCATCACTCCTCTAGTCATCTTCCGGGTCCTTATCCGAGCCAGCTGATTCTCTCGTGCTTCAGGAGCTAGAATCCAGTAGAAGAGTCGTGAGGAGCAGTGGGGAGCAGTGCGGTGGTAGACAGCATCATCTTTATCTGACGATTCTCTCTCTGGTCCCGGCTTCTCCACTGAGCTCCAGAGTCATGTTCAACTGCTTGCCTTTCGTGTCTGCTTGGAGGGTTAATAGGTATCTCAAATTAAACATGGCTGAAACAGATCCCCTTCACCCCCTCTCACTGTTCCCCCATAATAGGAGATCACCATCATTGCAGTTATTCAAGCCTAAAATTGGAAAGACCTCATTCCCATATCCAGTCTGTCAGCAAGTCCTGTACGTGACCATTTCCCCACCTCCAGAACCACCACCGTAATCAAGCTACCATCCTATGGACTACCATAGTACCTCCTAACACGATGTCCTGTCTCCATACTTGTGCCCTCTCCACAAAGCCATTTTCCACATAGCAGCCAAGGAGATCTTTTTAAAACTTGAATCAATTATGCTGCTATTTGCTTAAAACCTTCTAATGGCTTCCAGTTGAACTTAGAATGAAATTCAAACTCAGTAATATGGCTGACAAGGCCTGCCACAGCCCAAGCTTGCTGGCCTCTCTGGCCTTGTTCCATACACAAGGGAGAGAATGCTGTTAACTTCCACCACTCTGCTGTCGCTTGAACATGTAAAGTACAGGCTCACCTTAGAGGCTTTGCTTGGTTTCCGTTTCCCTCAGATCTTCACATGGCTGACTTCCTGTAGTCCCTCATGTCTCGCTCAGATGTTGCCTGAGGTTAACCCTTTTGGAACCATCTAAACTAGAATGGCCATCCCATCTGTCATTCTCCGTCACATCCTCTGTTATTTCCTTTATGGCACATATCACTGTCTTTTTACTATTTGTTCACTTGTTTATTGTCTCTCTCCTCCTGTAGAAAGTAGATAACTTAGGCACTAGAACCTGACTTATCTTCACTGCTACATCTCGAGCACTTAGAACAAGGCCTGGCACACAGTAGGTGCTCTGTTGACTGGCTGGCTGACTTCTGAGCCCCCTTACTGGAGGGCTCCCATGGTTAGAGGAGGGATGTGTGCAGTACTGGTTACAGCAGTCCCTGAGATGGAACCCCTGAGTTATGACCGTCCGTTTTACGTGTATGGCTGCTGTGGTGCCCATGTTTACCCTGACCACTGCTGCTTCTGCTGCTTGACAGCACATGTTCTCTTGAGGCTGGGTGTAGTGTGTTCTTGGCATTCTCAGTGCCCAGCTGGAACTTGGAGCTTGTTTGTACGTGGAGAAGCAGTGGAAAGCTACAGTACTTATAGTGCTACTATTCAGTTACATGATGGTTCAAATAGGCTTTTCAGCCCTAAAAGGACATTTCACCATCATTTGTGGCATTCTGGCTTTGGAAAAATGTACTTCAGGCTTCCAAATAACTAATTTGGAAATGCATTTTTAGAACCCAGTAATTTGTAAGTGGGGTCCAGCGTGTAAGCAGACTTGGGCTGTGAAGTAAATCTGAATGTGTTACGTGGACTCCTGAGTTGAAGTCTAGTGAGTCCTTCTGACAAACTATTAGTCTCACTTTCTCGGGAAAACATTTCCATCATCTCTAACCCTGGACCTGAGTGCTTGCTTTCTCTGCTTACTTGCCTCCCCACACCACATTCTTTTCCGAAGCTTGGGAAGATAGCAATCCCGTAGAATCAACACCTCCCTTGTTTCTTCTCATCTCTGAGCTGGGTAGTTGCTGTGCCTTCTGCATTAGTACCTAATTCTAGAGGAGCACCAGACTCAGCACCCACACCTTTCTCCTGTCCCCCTTGCTACATCACCCTAATCTCTGCTGCTTGTGGCTAGGAACCCCTTGATAAGAACCCATTCAGCAAACCTTGAGAGCAGCTTATTGTATTTTAGGGAGGGCTTACTTCCCAGAGAGCAGAAAGACAGCTGTTTCCTTTTAATATATCCTATGTGACCCATGGCATGAGGGAAAAGGAGGCTGAAGCCATACTTTTAGTCACTTGGGAAAGCACACTGGAAAGTTTGTGGGAGAGAAGTCATTTTGGGGTATATTTTCTTGCAGAGGCCGAGAAGAAGCGGGAGGCCAAGCAGCGAGCTAAGGAGGCTCAGGAGCGGGAACTGCGGAAGCGGGAGAAGGCAGAAGAGAAGGAGCGCCGGAGAAAGGAGTATGATGCTCTCAAGGCAGCCAAGCGGGAGCAGGAGAAGAAACCTAAGAAGGAAACAAATCAGGCCCCGAGTACGTTTGCTCTCAGTTTGCACGGGTGCAGTGGGGTGACTCGCTTATGTTTTCAGGCAGAGATGAGTGAGTGAGTGAGTGAGCAAGCAAGTTTGCAAACCTTGTCAGATACAATATACTCTAAGGCCTGGGAGTAACTCTGGGGCGTTTGCTTATGGGGAATGGGGGTCTCTCCTAAGGAGTGAGTGCCCGGCTGGTGTGTTTCCTCAGAGCCATGTGCTTATGTGCATGTGTTTTGGTCAGATGTGGCTTAAAGCATTCCTAGAACAGGGAGTTGCACATTTTGTAGGGGTTAGATTCCTAAAATCATTGAGAGAGGCAAAGATTGCATATGGTCAGATTACCCTTAAAAGTCCCTCATGTCATCTGTGAAGTGTCCTGGGTGTGTTTTGAGTGTGTGGTGCCATCTCAGTAAAGCCAGCACCGCCTATGGTTGTCTTTCCAAGTTGGAACAGATCACTCTCTTTTTGCTTGAACACCACAGGAATCATTTGGCCTGCATTCAGAGAGCTGTTGTATAAAAACACTTGTCAGTGTTTTGCCTGAATATGTCCAGTTGAATTTGTATAGTGATGTGGCTCCATGTACAGAGGAGGATCGCAGACCCTCTGGGCCCAAAGGGACCCCCGAGGGAGAGGCACCTGAGGGGGGAGGAGCTCTGTAGGGAGGGTGGAGGCCCGTGGCCCTGTCACTGCTCACTCTCCTTGGCCTTGAGCAAGTCACCTAACCTCACCACCCTTTTTGTCTCCTTGTGTAAAATGAGGATCATACCTCCTTATAGTGATAGGATTAAATGAGAACATCAGTGTGACAGGATCATGCAGTTCTTGGCGTGTGGGTGCTCAGTCAAGTCTCAAAATTTTGCCTAAAAATCAAATCAGTTTTTTTCTAATTATAAATTTAATATGTGTTCACTGCAGAGAATTTAGAAAAGTCCCATATATATATCAGTAAATGGCAATTAACCTGTAGTCCCCCATTCCCAGCAGTAATCACTGTTAACAATATGGTGTACCTTCCAGGCTTTCTTTTTATGTGCATCTTATATAATAATAATGACTTTAACAATATTAATAACTCTCAAACCTGTTTCCCTTAATGGGCAGCACTCTATCTATGCTTGATGCCTCCTGATAAGGCCCTCCCCCAATCCCGAGGGGCCTGGATTGTCACCATGTTATGGAGGATAACTTAGGACCCTGGGGACTGTGTGTGCTAAGTGAGACATGGAGAAAGTTCCAGTTTTGGGTGTACTCCCTTGAGATCCAAGGGAGAAGGTGTTTATGTTTCAGTCTCTGCATAGCAAAGTTTTTTTTTTTTTTTTTTTTTTTGAGGAAGATCAGCCCTGAACTAACATCCAATGCCAATCCTCCTCTTTTTGCTGAGGAAGATTGGCCCTGGGCTAACATCTGTGCCCATCTTCCTCCACTTTATATGGCATGCCGCCACAGCATGGCTTGACAAGCAGTGCGTCAGTGCGCGCCTGGGATCCAAACCTGCAAACCCTGGGCGGCCAGAGTGGAGCGCGCGCAGTTAACCGCTGCACCACTGGCTGGCCCCTGCATGGCAAAGTTTTTAAGAGCTCAGATGTTCTTAGGACAGTTTTCTCTTCAGGGCCTGGAGAGTTGTCGTTAGAGAAGAGGGGGTATATGGATCTGCATGGAGGAGACTAGCATTGCTTGGTAGAGTGTGGGTCTCCCCAAACTGACTGAACTTTTTTGTCTATTGTGACTTTGTCCCTCAAGAATCTAAGTCCGGCTCTCGCCCACGGAAGCCACCACCCCGGAAACATACCCGGTCCTGGGCTGTGCTGAAGCTGCTGCTGCTGCTGCTGCTGTGTGTGGCCGGCGGGCTGGTTGCTTGTCGGGTGACAGAGCTGCAGCAGCAGCCCCTCTGCACCAGTGTGAACACCATCTACGACAATGCGGTCCGGGGCCTGCGCAGCCACAACATCCTCCAGTGGGTCCTGCAGACCGACTCTCAGCAGTGAGCTTGTCCTCAACACCTGCTGCCTCCCAGCCTTGGAGCTTGGATTCCTATGGAATTGGGTTCTGCTGGACACAACCTCTTTTTAGCATCAGACCTACCTGCCATCATCAAATGGCTGCTGATTGGTACTTGAGACCTCCTCTTTGTAGGACTTCTTTGTTCCTTAGTCAGGGTTCCCTGGTGGAATAAGGAGAAATGGGAGGTGGGAACAGTTACCTGCATGCCTAAAGGAACAGGCTGGGGGTGGGAGAGGAAAAAACATAGCCTTTTCTAGTTGTTATACAAAGCTGTGTAAAGGCAAGGCTCATTTCTACTAAATGGTCAGCTGTCACTACATTTACATGTTTTTTATGTCACAAACCCTTCCTTTCATCCCTCCCCGGGTAGCCAGGGCAGATCAGGAGGCAGTGTGTTTTTGGGGACTAAGGGAACACCACACTCAGCAAATCTAGCCTAAATTGGGGGGGTGGGGCGTACTTGTTTTCTTAAGGACCTCAGACATTCAAACATTTTAATAACCATACAAACTCTCAGGCTGTGAAAGGGACTTCAGGACCATCCAGTCTAATATAACACCTGCAGACAGGAAAACAGGCCTTTCATGACTTGCCTACTAGACTGGTCTCCTAGCTAGTTTGAGGCAGAACTGGAGTCCCACTCGGGTATCCTTTCTTTCTTTTCCATCATTTTGCCTCCTTAATAATGTCCCAAGAGGACAGGACTCACACCAGAATTGAGTATCTCTCAGCCAGAGTATAGAATCTTCCATGGCAGACAGATTCATGACCCACAAATGGAAATCTCAATGCCATGAGGGTCTTGGGCAGCTCCTGTGGAGTCCTGCCCCAACTTATGTGGCTTCCATAAAATGGAGATGGTCCAGCCTCCTTGCCTCAGTTTCAGAGCATTAACTCCCCAATTGCCAATAACCAGGAAGGCGGACCCTTGCAAAGCCATTGTCTATGACAGCTCTGTTAGTGACCATCTGTTAGTGGTTGGTATGACTAAATACCTCAAAGGCAACCTGAAAACTCAAGTTTCATGGAGACGGGTTTAGAATTGTTTGATTCTAGACCTATAACTACACCTGCACAATGAAGGGAAACCAGTAGCACCATGGAGTTTCAAGAGTGGGGCGTTCACTCATGACCACCACAGATAAGGGCAGCACTGTCCATTCTCTTGTCTGCCAGATTAAGCATTTTCTTGCTCTGTGGCCTCCTTTGCCTCATCTTTTCACAGCAGCTAGATGAAGGGATCAGAAATGGCTGTGTCATGGTGCTCATTCACTAAAAGCTCCCAATTGCAAGCTCCTTGCCTCTCCCCAGGGAGAGCAGGAACCTGTCACAGTTCAGAGACTAAGGTCAGGGTCCAGCTTTTTAGCCCTAGTGGCCCATTTGGATAGGACTGCCACTCATGGCTGTCTTGATACTGGAAGAAATGACTTGTTCTCTCCTTCCCCAAGGATAGCTCTGCTGCGTAGGCCCACACCTTACTCATAATCACTACACATTCCTTTAGTCTTCCTCCAAGCTCCAGAGCCATTGGTACAAATGCTTTATTGAATCTAAACACAGAGTACATAAAATGAGACTGAGAGAATACAGAAGTCAGCATAGTGATTGCACCCCTGTTCCCTGGCTGGTCGAGGCAGCTCCAGTGGGTGAGGAAGGCTGGAGCACACCCAGCCTGGGTAAGCCAGCCCACCAAGGGCAGTTCACTCATGATCTTGAGATTTGATGCTGAGGTTCTTTTGGATTTCTACAATTATTAAATATGTGTCTGAGTGGTCTGTCTTTGTTCCTTTGTATTTTGAGGGCTGGCTGGGGCAGGGGTAGGGGTGGTTTATACATGGCAGCTGATTTTTGCTAGGAGAGGCACATTAAATGCTGGTGAAGTACATGCAAGTATCTCAGCCTTCTGCCCCAAGTTGACAGGTAGGGAGACTTTCACACAGAACGACACCCAGGAAGAGTCTGTTGGCCTGACCCAGCCTTGGGTTCGGGAGGCGCTTCCAATCTCTGCTTTGTAGTCATGTTCTGAGCTGGGTGAGGCGGACGTCTCCAGCTGTCTATCCTTGTCCTTGAGGGCTAGCATCAGTCTGCAGTGTCTAAAGAGAGATCTGGCTGCAGAGTGCTCATCTGAAGGTAGATACGCCTGGACAGCTCTGGTCCAACTCGGCGGGAGGTGGATGTCACACCTTCCCCACGGCGCACCTGTATGTCTGCAAGCAAATTCTGGCGTTCTTGCTCCGAAAAACACCGCCGATAAGCCTGAAAGTAGTAAATGACCTCTTAGTATACCACGTGGTCATTCCTCATCCATGAACAAGGGGGCAGTTGACTTGGGTTGGGGGTGAGAACCTGTCCTCCCTCCCTGGGTCAGTGTCAACAACTCTGATCTTAGCAGACCTGCACTGTTGACCTAGAGGCATTCTTGGGCCCTCACCAGTGCTATCCATGGAAACCATCTGGGAGTCCGCTAAGGCCAGAGGGTGCTGGGTGCTGACACCGGGAACAGCATACCTGGACCAGGAGCTGTGGGGAAGGATAGGCATCCATAACAGCACTGGCCATTTCCAGGCTGACGCGGTTCAACTGCTGGATCTGTCTCCTCCAGACCAGTGCAAGTCCTCTGCCAGCGCGGTCCACCTTTGCCCCTCCAGCCCAGTCACTCTCCAGGCAGAAGGAGAAATTAGTTTGATCTCGGAGCTTCCTGCCAACAGCACAGTTGAAGAGCTGTGAGTCACTTGTTACTCTCTTGCACCTGTCCCGTTAACTGGGAACTTAAAACCCTTCCTCCACTGACCTCAGAAGAGGTGGGTACAGTGTTATATCTGACGCATTTGAGTGCTCGCTTTGTTCCCAAGCAGTGCTACTTGCTGATTCCCTTAAAAACGATATCTAGTCCTTTTTCATTAAAAGAGAAGGTAACAGAAAAGTACTGGACTCTTTTATGTTGAGACTGGTTTGTATTGACCTGAGAGGCAGTGTGCAAGGGGTAGGCAGAAGGTACTAGGTATCAGGCAACTGGGAGTCTAGTTCTGGTTCTAACTTGCTAGGAGCTTAGACAAGCCAGTCTCCTCAGGCCTCAGTTCCCTCAGGTATAAAATCAGGGACTTGGACTGGATGGTCTCAGGTCCCTTATTAATTTTAAATTCTGACTATGAACAATCCTTAAACTAAGTAGGCTAAAAATGTGTTTTATGAGGACTTATTACATTGTGATCTGACCTGTAATGAATCCTGGTAACCTGGCCGACTTGTCACCCAGTACCAACCTGCAGAACACAAACTTCCACATAAGCTAAAGCAGAACATTTTAAAGGGACTGAGCTTGAGGGCTCTTCCCAGGAATGCCCAGAGGAGGTCAGCTCCTGCCTCAAGCTTGAGAGACAATGGGCTGACAGCAGAGCTGAGGGGAAAGGGACATCTTTGGGTACCAGAACTGCTGTAAAGGACGAGGCCCAGCATTGGAGCCAGGACTGGCCGGGGGCACTCACTTGAAGGGCGCCTCAGCCACAGCCTTTGTGAACGTGCATGCGAAGTCAGCCAGCTCTTTCCAGCTCTGCACAACTCGAGCCTGTGCCTGTGTGTGTAGCTGCAGATCCACCAGTGCCTAGAAACCCAAAAGCAGGATGGACTGGAAGGGCGGAGAGAGACAAGTTTGAAGTTGTTCCCCTCTCACTTCCACTGAAGCTGCACCCCAGCCCCTTGGCTCCCTGTGTGGCCCCTTCTCTCCTACTTGGTGCCAGTGCAGAAAGTACGGCCAGCAGGCATTTTACTCTTTATCAATAGCAAAGCGGGCACCCAAGCTGACTCGGGCAACACGAAGTTCTTACCTCTTCCACGTCTACCCTGGACACCAGGGGCCTTGTGTTGGCCTCTGGTTGTCTCTGCTGCTGCTTCTCCTTGGCCTGTTCTCTATTTGCCACTCCCTGTTTCCTTCTCCTTGGAGGATTCGGAGCACTGGAGCAGGGAAGGAAATCAAAGGGCAGCAGTTCCAGGCTGAGCTCAGGCAGAAGGGGTGTGAGAAGAGTGGACCAGAGCGTCTCCCAGGCCTTGTCAGGGATGCTATCTTGCAGAGGGACCCAGATCTGGGATGAATGAATTCACCCCTGTTGGCCCAAGAGTTGCCCCCTTTAATGCTAAATCCAAACCTGAAGCTCTTCTCCTGATCCACAATCACCAGGGACAGAGCTTTCCCCGCTGTCCTTGCTGTGACGTCAGTTACAAAGCTCCGAAGTGTTTCCTTCCCTTTCTCGGTGCTGCCCAGACTTCCCTGCGTGAAGTGGCAGAAGCTGCATTAATTCTTGCTCCCTACAGACAACCCTATCCTCAACCCTATGCCTCAGCACCCACCCCCCTTTGGCTCTACCCACCTGCTTGAAGTTGCAGATCATGGACACAAACGCCTCTGCCAGGAGCAGCACCAGGACCATCGGCTCCTCCACCCAGCCCTCCTCTCCATCCTGCCAAAGGACCCAGAACCCAGCAGAGGGAGGCAGGTCAGCAGGTGCTCAGCACCTGCGAGAGAGTCCCAGGCCTCCTGGGTGAATGAACTCACCCCCATCAGCCTAGCCCATTTTGCATTATATTTTTTCTTTTGGAATAAAGTCACAGTGGCAAGAAACAATAATCCGTGACCCTGTTCCTCCCCAGTGCTCAACTCCTGATGCTCCAGTTCAACCTTGGTGCACTGCATCTCAAGAGGCAGTGCATAAGCAAGGAACGTTAGTGAGCTGACGGGCTGAGAAGTGACTGCCAATATTTCTATGCATTTTGAATAGGGGAGTGGAAGGAAAGGAGACCCTTCCAAAGGATGTGGTACAAATAAGTAACTTGGGCTTTGAGGGTAGATGCCAACGATGAGCTGAGTGGCCCTTACAAACACGTGGTTTTGTGTGACAAAGATAAGAACCATAGGGAAACTTCAGTCTGTGAGAGCACCTCCTCTTCACCACAGCCAGGGCATAATCAAAGCCAAGGCCGCCTCCCAGCAGACAGTCCCACAGTGGTGCAGTATTATAGAGTGATCGAGAGCAGGGCTGTGCAGGGCTTTCTGACTGGCTCCCTGTAAGCAAAAGCTAAGACCCATAATAACAGCGACGTGTAAGTGGGAGGAGCTCTGGGTTCTAGTTCCCACTCAACCACTGATCAGCTGTGATCCTTAACAAGGCTTTCAACTTCTCTGAGCCGCAGTTTCCCCACCTGTGATGTGGGGGGAAGCATTTCTTCCTTACAGGATAGCTGTGACCGAAACATAAGAGAGAGAGTGAGGGACCGGCCCTGTGGCTTAGCAGTGAAGTGCGCGCGCTCCGCTGCTGGCGGCCCGGGTTCGGATCCCGGGCGCGCACCGATGCACCGCTTCTCCGGCCACGCTGAGGCCGTGTCCCACATGCAGCAACTAGAAGGATGTGCAGCTATGACATACAACTATCTGCTGGGGCTCTGGGGGAAAAAAATAAATAAATAAAATTATATTAAAAAAAAGAGAGAGTGGGGGCCCGCCCCGTGGCTTAGTGGTTAAGTGCGCATGCTCCACTGGTGGCCCAGGTTCGGATCCCAGGCGCGCACCAACGCACCGCTTGTCAGGCCATGCTGAGGCCACGTCCCACATAAAGAGGAGGCAGATTGGCACAGATGTTAGCTCAGGGCCAGTCTTCCTCAGCAAAACGAGGAAGATTGGCACTGGATGTTAGCTCAGGGCTGATCTTCCTCAAGGAAGGGAGGCAGGGAGGCAGAAAAAAAGAGAAAGTGTGGAAGTGCCTTGAAAGGATAAACTGCTTTGTGAATATAAAGGTTTGCTAATACCCCAAATTAAAAAGTGTGTAATTGCCCTAAATTACTGAGAAAATTATGAGATCCAAACAAGAGAGGAAAAAAATCTTAATGTTTCATCACTAGACTCTTGAAAATGAGGGGTGGAGTATTTTGGATTCACAGATAAGAGGAGTGGAAGGCACAAGAGCTGTAGTAACCCGAGGAGCCCGGACAGTGAAGGAACATTTACCGTGCGCCTACTACATGCTCAGTGTGTGGTTATCTCATTTAGTCTCCACAACAGAGGGGACTGAGAGGGACTAACCGTGTCCTCATTTTATACATGAGGCACAAAGAAATAATTTGCCCAGGGTCATAGCAATAAAGCCATGAGACTGGGATTCAGACACGAGCCCGCCCTTTCCCAAAGCCCAGTTAGAGAGAACTAGGAATCCTGTGCAGATTATCTTCCCTCTGCCCACAGATCCACTCTCCACCCTTCCCTACTCTGTTGTCTGCTGGAGGAGGGTGATCTCTACAGACCACATCGCAAGGGGTGCACGCCCTCTGGCTGGGTATGGCCAGTGGGAACCCAGCAGGAGATAGGAAGGAGGGAGGAGTGAAGTCAGGGTATGGCTTTCCCTGGCTCCCTCCCAATGGGGTCACCTAGGTTTGCCTACACTCCTCTACTGGAGGTCAAACTTCTCTCAGGTGGGTTCTCTTTACATTTCTCTCTCCTTCCCGATTTTTGTAAACACTTCCTCCTCTCATCCCTTCAGGCCTAGGCATGGAAACAGCTATGCCAGTGGTTCTCAACCAGGGGCGATTTTTCCCTACAACAGACATCTGGCGATATCTGGAGACATTTTCCATTGTCACGATGGGGAGGGGTGCTACTGGCATCTACTGGATAGATGCCAGGGATGCCACCTAAGCATTCTACAATGCACAGGATAGCCCAGCACAACACGATTATCTGATCTGAAATGCAAACAGTACCTGAGGTGCAGAAACTGGTTAATGCTGTTATTACCGTGAGGTACTGAGCTGACCCTTGTAGTTTCCTTGTACCCTGCCCACGCCTTAGAAAACACTCCCTTTATTAAATCCTCCTCAAATTATCCTAAATTGAGTGTGCCATCTGTTTTCCTGCTGGGGCCTTGACTGATAGATATCCTTTAGAATAAAAGCATATTTATCCTGTAACTCTAAAGGGGAGGAGAGAGATCAGCCAGAAAACCCCTACCTCGGCTGGCCCAGCCCTCCTCCTCCAGGTGATGCTGTGAGGCACGGCCTGTGCCTCAATCACACAGCAGCATTCCATGGACTGCAGTGCTCCGAGGAGCTGGCCCCCACCTCCCATCTGTAACAGCACTGCAACAGATGGGAAAGGGGCTGTCAGTGGGTGGCCCAGAAGGCAGTTAACTCAGCATAGGGTGAAGACAGATGCTATGAGGACCTGGATCCAGCACCACAACGATGTGCTTTAAGCATTCCTCTGGCCTCTGAGCTTTCAGCCCATTAACCAGTGCTGCCTTCTTCTTCCTTTCCTGTTGTCTCAGGGTGCTTTCCTTCTGGCTTGCTTGTCCCCGCTGCTGGCATCCCTGTGAGCCTTTCTTCCGGACCTTCTGACTACGCTTGGTTCTCTTCTGAGGCAGGGCGTCCTCAGCATTCGTTTTGATTACTGTCCAGCTGTTGCTCTGGACAGGGCAGGTACCTTGGTAGGCTGGAAGCTGATGGCATGGATTGTCTACCAAAAGGTCTTTGTTATTTAATGCACGCCTCTCTGAGGTGTCACAGAGGGGAACATCAGGGATCTTTGGAAAGGGCTGTTTTTTCCAGTCACATAATGCTCCTTCATAATTTTGATGATCTACAATACTTTTAACTGGGGAGCTAGAGTCCTTGGGGCTCAGCTGCTTGTGGGTCAAAAACTTACATGTAAGCCTCTCAGCCAGGGGAACAAATTCCTCCTCATCTTCACTTCCACTGCTTAGCACCCTGACTGGCTCGGTTTGTATGACAGTTGCGGCCGTGTCTGGAACAGGTGATGGATCTTTCAACCGTGGTGATGAAGGACAGGAAGCCTCAGAATCTGAAGTGTCAACCACTACAATCTTCTCCTCCCTCTGAGGGTGTCTTCTCTTTGCTGAAGATGGTTCCTTCTTTAGAAAGGCAAATGTTGGCAACTCCTCAGAGTCACTCTCACTGGATTCCAGTGAGAGTGATGACTTCTTGAGAGCCATCAATACGTGCTATCAAATTAATTCCCTAAAAGGAAAAGAGAGAGGAGACAGAGACTCAATCAATTCAGTCTACTAGAGGTGTTCTATGGCCTAGCTTTATGGAAATAAATACAATATATAGAGAAATAGAGAAACAGAGAAATAGGAGAGGGTCCCAACACGTTCATTCTGGGACTCAGAACAGTTACGTCTGTAGCCTAACAGGAACCCTCTTCAAATCCTTTCTAGGCCAAGGTGAGGTATAAGCAAAGTGGAAGTTACTATTACAAAATTTTAATGGGGTAGTAACAAGACTCAACAGCACCCCCTTGTTGATCTCTGCATTTGAACTGGAGATGCCAAGTCATCCTTTTTTAAAAAATTGAGATATAACTCACATACCACAAAATTCATCCTTTTAAAATGTACAGTTCAATGGGTGGTTTTTGGTATATTCACAAAGTTGTACAACCATCACTACTACTAATTCCAGAACGTTTTCATCACCCTAAAATGAAATGCCATAGCCATTAAGCAGTCACTGTCCATTTCCCCCTCCCCTAGCCCCTGGCAACCACAAATCTACTTCTATTTCTAACGATTTGCCTATTCTGGATATTTCGTATAAACGGAATCATACACTACGTGGTCTTTTGTGACTGTCTTCTTTCACTTAGCATTATGTTTTCAAGGATAATTTACGTTGTAGCATGTCAGTACTTCAATTTTTCCGGCTGAATAATATTCCACTGTATAGATATGCCACATTTTGTTTATCCATTAATTACTTGATAGATATTTGGTTTGTTTCCATTTTTTTGGCCATTATGAATAATGCTGCTGTGAACGTTCACGTCCAAGTTTTTGTGGGGACGTATTTTCAACTTTCTTGCATATATACCTAGGAGTGCAGTTGCTGGATCATATACAAAAGACATTCCTCGAACAAATATTTACCAGTGCTGTAGATGTGACACGGGATGAGCAATGTAACCTTTCTGGGCTTTCTTCTCTAGTAAAATAGGAATAACAACAATACCTACTTTAGAAGGTTGTGAGAAATAAATGAAATCATGCATCTGCAACGCTTAGTACAGTATCTGGCACAGGGTAGGCGCTCAGTAAAGTAAGCAGAATGACTAGGGAGGGACCTTATCCCTGTCTCCCTGACTCCCGCAAAACGAGGGATCGGCCAAGCCGGCTCCTGCCGGGCACGCTCCGCGCCTCTCACCCCGGCCCCAGGGCGGGGCAGTTCCTCCCCACTCTGCGGTCCAGGACGCCCTGGCCACCAAGCCTCTGCGGAACAGGGATCAAGAAGGAAGCCCTGCCCCGCCCGCCCGCCGCCGCGCCAGCAGCCGCTACGCTCACCTGCGACTTCTCGCGCCACTCTTTCAACTGTCTCGCACGCCCCGGAAGTATATCTCCCGGTAGCGGAAGTAGATTTCTGAGACCGGAAGCGAGTGTACGGCAAACATGGCGTTGGCGGTGCTGGCGCTGAGGACGAGAACAGCTGGTAACGGGACGCCGTGGTCATTGCGGGGCGAGGGCTGGAGGCGGAGTGGACACCTTGCAGGGAGCCGCGGGGTGGAGGCCGGTTCCTCCGGAGGACCCTGGGTGCGGACGGGGGAGTGTGTGGGGCCCGCGAGGTTTGAGGGGTGGCTGTCTCTGATCATGTGACACATCTAGGGCGCCGAGCCGTGTGGGTGGTGGTGGTTCGAGGAGCACGTGTTCCTCCCCTGCCTGGCATGCAAGTACAGCTTTCTTGGCGGTTGGTGACATGGGCACTCTGCTTCCTCTCTCTGAGTTTGTTTGGATCCCTTCATCTATAAAAATGGGGTACTAACATTGGCACATTGGAGCTCAAAAAGTGAATCCGATCGTTCAACGGATTGAGCTCTTTGTGCCAAACACTGTGGTAGGTGTTGGGGATCTCAGAGAAGATGAAGACGTAGTCTCTATCCCCTGGGCGGTTCTTTCTAGTGGATGAACCAATAAATGAGCACATAAATAAAATGGTTGTAAATTGTGACAAGTGCTGTGAAAGTAAAAATGTGTGTATGTGTCTTTCTTTGGGCTGGGTGGTCAGGGAAGCCCTCTGAGAAGGTAACATGTAAGTTAAGACCTAAAGGATGACAGGAGCCTAGCCCTGGAAGAGAGTGAGGGCAAGAGAGTGACTTGACCGAATTTTACATTTTGAGAATTAAACCATTGCTCTTACGTGAATTTAAGAGGGGGTAGGAGTGGAAATGAGGAAACCGGATGGGAAGCTGTAATAGTAGCCCCGATGAGAGATGATTTAGCGGAGATGTTAGTAGTGTCAGTGAACTTGGAGGGAAATGGATGGATCTGAGATCTGTTTTGGAGGTAGAATCCACAGAGCTTGCTGGTTAGCTGGATATGTGAGGTGAGCATAGGGAAGGAATCTGCAACTGCTTAGGTGGTGACATCATTTACTTGGAGGAGGAGGATGGGGAGTAGGGTGGAGAGCAAAGATTTGTGACTGAGATGATATAGGTAAAGCAAGAGCCCAGTTCCTGAGCTTGATAAGTGAGTGAATGAATGAATAAAGAGGTGTTTAAAGGTAGGTAGGGCTGGCCCCGTGGCTTAGTGGTTAAGAGCGTGCGCTCTGCTACTGGCGGCCCGGGTTCGGATCCCGGGCGCGCACCGATGCACCGCTTCTCCGGCCATGCTGAGGCCGCGTCCCACATACAGCAACTAGAAGGATGTGCACCTATGACGTACAACTATCTACTGGGGTTTTGGGGGAAGAAAAAAAAAAAAAGGAGGAGGATTGGCAATAGATGTTAGCTCAGAGCCGGTCTTCCTCAGCAAAAAGAGGAGGATTAGCATGGATGTTAGCTCAGGGCTGATCTTCCTCACAAAAAAAATAAAAAAATAAAAAAAATAAATAAAGGTAGGTAGATCCTGGTGCTGGGCATTTAACATGTTGTCTCTAAGTCTTTATCGCTGGTCCTTTGCCCCAGCTAGTCTCTGTTCTCATTAAAACTTCAGAAACCTAGGCTTCAGGAACTCTAAGCTTACAGGCTCTAGAGACCCACAAGGCTTCTCTAAATACCCTGGCATGGCCCTGATTAACCATGGCTGTGTCTGGATACCTGAAGGCAAGCACTGCCAGCCCTGCACTTGTCATATAGCAAGTGGTTTCCATCTTGGTTAGTATGAATTTTAGTTCACTTTCCTTTTTAGAATAACTGCCGTTGAGCACTTTGGAATGAGTATGGAGAGGTCAGATTAACAAGGGCACGGTGTCAGTCTTCTTGGTCGGACCTATGCTTGATGGGCTTGCCGAAAAAAGAGTCCAGCCTTCTGAGATGGCCAGGAGCCTGTGGGAGCCACCCTCAGAGATGCTGCCCTTTTTGTTTACAAGTATCTGGTGTGCAGTGGATGGGTGGGTGGGTAAGAAAGTGGTGCATGGGGCCAAAGTAGGAGCCTCTCTGGGTGTCCTGTTGCTGGGTTCTGTGGGCTGGCCCCTCCACATTGCATGGAGCCTTGAGGGCATGTGGTGAGTGAGGCGGAAACAGGCAGCTCTGTGGTGTCCTCTTGCTGGCTTCTGTTTCTGTTTGTCTCACAACAGGACTGAATGTGTCAGGATGCAGGACACGTGGTGTTTACTTTTTTTTTTTCCCATTTATATTTCACTGCCCCCTTCTCCCCTGGCCACACACACACAGTCTCATGCAGTGCTTACACCCTGGAAAATACAAGGAATGACTTGTCCCTCGCCAACACAGTCAAGTGGCATTTCTGCTCACATATTTTCCTCACCTCCCCTGCCACTGCCCGCTGCCATCTCTCAGCTTAGCAAATGGCCCATTGATGCAGAGAAAGAGAGTCTGATTGGGAGCCTCTCTGTCTGAACAACATTTCTGTTCTCTCTGCAGTTACAGCCCTGCTGAGCCCCCCTCAGGCTGAAGCTCTTGCCGTCAGATATGCATCCAAGAAGACAGGTGGCAGCTCCAAAAACCTCGGTGGAAAGTCACCAGGCAGACGCTTTGGCATCAAGAAAATGGAGGGTGAGGGTGTGCCTTGGTTTCTATTTCCCAGCTGCACCCTACCCTGCTGCCCCTGGCATTCCTTTGAAGAGTGGGAAGACCATGCAGGTGCCCCACCGTCACTCTCCTTTAGCTCACGAGAGCATTTGGCTCCAGATTAGAGAGGCAGAAAGACCTGATGCGGGGTGGGGCCCTGAGGTAGAGTAGATAGATAGGAACCTTGGCCATGTAACTGGAGAGAGGAGGCTGCTGGGTGGCGGACAGGGGGCTGCTTGTGTTGGACCATCTGGAAGTTGGTTTTATCCAGGGGCAGCCTTAGAGGTTGGTGTGCAGCATTTGGGCTGTCATGTTTTCTTAGCAGTTTGTTGCGCTGCCCCATCACTGGGACTCAGAGTGAGTACACTTGTGTACTTCTCTTCTAGGTCACTATGTTCATGCTGGCAACATCCTTGCGACTCAGCGCCACTTCCGTTGGCACCCAGGCGCCCACGTGAGTTGCTCTGTGGCCCTCCCCCCTTTTTTCTTTCTAGGACCACCTTTCCACGCTCCTAAGCACAGCAATAGTAATAAGAACAGTTGCATTTATTGGGTGCTTATCAAATGCCAAGCATCATGCTGATTCCTGGGCCTACATTATCTCATTTCATCCTTACCCCATCCCTGTGAGGTAGTAGGTATCATCTGCGTTTTATAGGTAAGGTGCCAGAGACTTAGAGAGTGAGGGGCCCAAGGGACAGAGCTGGGATTTGAACCCAGGTCTGCCTGACTCCCAGTCACTATGTTTTGCCCTAGTATAGCATTAGCCTGGTTCTCTTGGGTCTCCTTTCTAATCCCTGGTTCTTGGAGGAGATGCCTGGTGATTTAAGATATTTTTTGAATCTTGGGAAACTAATTTCAATTTATTCATTTTTCCTTCTTTCTTTTTTTTTTTTTTTTAAAGATAGTATTGTTTTTTTTGTTTGTTTGTTTGTTTGTTTTTATTCATTTTTTCCCCCAACGCCCCAGTAGATAGTTGTATGTCATAGTTGCACATCCTTCTAGTTGCTGTATGTGGGACTCGGCCTCAGCATGGCTGGAGAAGCGGTGCATCGGTGCGCGCCCGGGATCTGAACCCGGGCCGCCAGCAGCAGAGCGCGCACACTTAACCACTAAGCCACAGGGCCGGCCCATTTTTCCTTATTTCTGATAATTCCTTCTTTGCATAAAGTTGTTATTAGATGGCTGAAAGATAGTTTGAATTTAGTGAAATAGAATTCAGCGTGCTAGAAATTAGGTCCGTACCAGGCAGGGATTTCAGTTTCAGCAAATTGGGATTACTTTTTGAGGTAGGAAAGTTCTTTGTTAAGACATATCTGTACTATACTCTTCACATTATTTTAAATATTAGTTTAGTTTCCTTTGTAATCCATCCCCCCGCCTCTTTTTTTGGCAGTTTTATTAGGTACGAAAAGGCTAATGGTAACCTATAATTATTTCAGAAATGCTAATTTGTATGTGAATTGATTGTATTTGTAGTAGCTTTATCTTTTAGAACTTGAGACATTGGATGTGTGGCTGTTAACTCTTTGGATTTGCTAAAATAATAATGTCAGCGGTAATAAAAGCTAACATGTTTTGAGCGAGGCAGTGTTCTAAGCTCCTTATGATTGTTAACTCATTTAATCCTTCAGGTGACCCTTTAAAGTAGTTAATATTTATCCCCATTTTATAGATGAAAGAACTGAGACACAGTGAAGTAAAGCAACTTGCCCGGATCACACAGTAGTAGGTAGTAGTGCTAGGATTTGAACCAGGCGTCCTGGCTCCAGAACCCATTCTTTTAATCAGAGAAATACTGAAGAATGCTGGACTGCCTGGGTAAAAATCGCCACACATCCAATCTCAAGTTCTAAAAGAAAAAAGCTAAAATATGTACAGTTAAAAAACTGTATATCCAACACATAGTTTAATCTCTTTGCTCATATTTTTCGTCCGAAAAACAGGGTTAGAAATAGTGCTTGCTTCACAAGGTGAGAATTGAATGAGTTAATGTATATAAAAGAGCTTGGAACAGAGTTGGCACACAGTGAGCACTGCATCATTGTTGGCTGATATCATTCTTGTTTTATTAGTATGTGCACTATCCATATAGCTTTAGTCAATACTTTCCATAGAGCTTAAACTTTATAGATCACTATATAGATGAAAATGTATATCAAACTACTGTTTAATATAACTCCAGTGTGTGGTTTTTTGTGTGTGTGTGTGTGTGTGGAAGATCAACCCTGAGCTAACACCCGATGCCAATCCTCCTCTTTTTGCTGAGGAAGATTGGCCCTGGGCTAACATCTGTGCCCATCTTCCTCTACTTTATATGGGATGCCGCCACAGCATGGCTTGACAAGCGGTGTGTCGGTGTGCGCCCTGGATCCGAACCTGTGAACCCCAGGCCGCCGAAGCAGAGCACGTGCACTTAACTGCTGCACCACCGGGCCAGCCCGGTCCGGTGTTTTTTAAGTCTAAGTGAAGCAAGCTCCCAGGGGCAGTGATTAGGGGCATTTTCCTGGGCCTGGTTTGGGGCCCTATCTGGTATGGCTTCTGGCCAGCTGCACAGACGTGGGTCCAGGTATCAGCCCTCAGGGACTGAGCAACCACCAGGATTGGCTGTTGGAGTTTTCTTTTCCCTCCTCTGTCATGGAGTCACTAAAGAAGTAGAAGGCAAGGAAGTGCCAAGCAATGGGAAAGGGTACCTGAGATAGAGCTTTCTGAACCCTCCCCTTTGGCCTCACGGCCTGAATTCTTGTGTGAAGTCTGTCCTGAAGCCCTGGGATGGACCCCCTGGCTGTCTATCCAGCTAACCAGGTCTGTGTGTTGCAGGTGGGGCTGGGGAAGAGGAAGTGCCTGTATGCCCTGGAGGAGGGGGTAGTCCGCTTCACTAAGGAAGTCTACGTGCCTAGTCCCAGCAACTCAGAGGCTGTGGATCTGGTTACCAGGCTGCCCAAGGGTGCTGTGCTCTACAAGACTTTTGTTCACGTGGTTCCTGCCAAGCCTGAGGGCACCTTCAAACTGGTAGCTATGCTTTGAGCTCCTGGTTGAGGCCATTGGACAGAGACTGGAACCCAGCTGACAGGAGAGGGTGGTACCAGCTGAAGTCAAGGGTTGGGGTAACAACAAGGCCTCCCGAGGAAGACGTCTGCTTGATGGTGACTGCAAGAGACTCTGTGAAGTGACTGGCTGGGAAACCCTTTGCAAGACCTGACCTGGGCCAAAAATAAAGTTAGCTGGAGTCATGAGTCTGTGCTATTTGGGGACAAACCTGGATGGAGCTGCCTACTGATTTGGTCCTTATCCATCTCTAGTGCACACCAAGGGGGAACCTTGAAGCAGGAGAGAGGCCTCCTAGAGCAAAGAAATAAGAAGAGGGGACTTTGTTTTGTGGAGGGGATTGCTTTAGCACCATCCCCCAGAGGGGAAGGAAGAGGAGAGCTTGTGCTCAATGCCACTTCCCCTTCTGGATCCCACAGAAGTCAGGGCCCTGGGAGGAGTGGGTGGGAAGGGCCAACAGAGAAAGCAACATGGTCATGTTCCTCTCCGGAGCCACATTCAGAGGGAGCTGGGGCGGCAGCCCCAGAAATGGCCGCATGGCAGACCCTTCCCTGCCTCTGCAGTTCCAGGGCAGAGAGGCCCCATCTTCCCTGGAATACCAAGGTCTTTTTGTCAATGACAAGGCAGAATGGGTGAGGGTGACAAATGGGCTTCTTCCCTCCCACCCAGAGAGAGACACACCAAGCTTATTCTTTTCTGGTTCTTGGTTTATCTCAAACCATAAACAGTAACAAAGAATCTGGCTTCAGGAATACTCAGTCTGGGCCTCGAGAGGACTAGGGGCAGGCCTACATTGTCAACCCAACCTAAGACCTTTAGAGGCTTGGCTTTGCGTGGAAGGGCCAGGAAGGGAGTCTCAGCTAGGGTGGATGGTCGTCCTGGCTGTTGGAGGTAGGCAATGTTGGCTGTAGCCCCCCACTTGTAGAGTCTAGTGGCTTCCTTCCAAGGACTCTCCTTTGCCCTGAAGGCAGGAGCTCCAGAGACTGAGGGCAGAGAAACCTCCCAGTTCTGGAGGTCTGCCTTGAACTTGTCACTGTGTTCTCAGGGCATGACCCCAGATTTCCCAACTGCAGATCCTTGGCAAAGGTGATCCGGGGTTTGTTGAGGTTCACTTTGGCTTCCTTCTCATGAGGTCTCATGTACCAAGGCCCAGCTGGGGGAGATTTGTGGGGGCATCTTGCCAGTTCCCTGGAGAAGTGGGAAGGGGCAGAATGGAGGAGCTTGTTCCCTCCCTACACAGTAGGGTTTCCCGGAGCAGGGCAGGTGGCTGCCTCCTGGGGTGGGTGAGCAGAGCCACGGTTGAGTCGTGGTGCTGGCAGTGACCTTAAGGCTTCTTCATAGCTCGGTGGCAGCTGGAGGGGCAGGAGAGCAAAAGCATTAACCTTTCCCTTACACCGCCCCCATACACACCCGCCCTTTCTTTGGAGTGCTGCTTTCTGTGTCTCCTCTCCCCCAGTCACAGTCCTTCCTGGAAACAAGTTGAGTCCTAGAGCTGTTGGCTCCATAGAAACCCTTCTGCAGGAGCCCATCCTGAGTCACAGGGTGACTCCTTGGGCTGATGTCTGCCATCCTTCCTTCTACCCAAAGAGGTGAAGTGGGGCCTCCAGCCAAATCCTGGGGCTCTCCATCAGTGGCCCTTTCCTTGTCCTGGCCCGAGGGGCTCTAATTGGGCATTGTGTATAACAGAGTAATAGGAAAAAAGCTCAATTCTCCGGGGCATCCAAGGCTGGGAGGGCTGAACATTCACCTCTGCAGGCCCAGAGCCCGAAGCGCTGTGCAGTCAGCTGGTGAGTCTGCTGCTGCCGGTCCTTCTTTCGAACACTCTCATAGCTGGGCAGGTGAGCCAGCTGCCACAGGGGCGGCAGGTAACTGCTGGGCAGCCCCACACAGAATACCTCGGCCCCCTGGGGATAGCCATGTGACCAAGAAAAGCCAAGGGAGCCAGGCAGGCATGCATGACCCTTCTCCAGCTTCCATCTGCACCCTCTTCTCCAGGGTGAGCCCAAGATCAGGGTACCACGTGCCCTCCTCCTCTCCAACAAGTCTCTCTAGGCCTCATCCCATCCTTCCCTTAGCTTCACTAGGCCCCTGGCCTGGCTTCAGGCCCCCAGCACACACCTCTCCCCCCACTCCTAAGTGGCAACCCCAAGGGTCCTCCCTCACCTGCATCCCCTGGGACTCTCGGCACCTTTCTGGCTGGACCTCGGTGGGACGTCCCATGGTGCTGAAGTGGGGAGGGGGCAGTCCTGGGGGTTATGAGGGACAACTTAAAGTGAAGCTCAGGATTTAGGGTCAGTGAGCAAGAGAGCAGAGCCCAAACCCTTTCTGTCCCTGTGTCCCTCTCCCCATCCCTTTAGTTCTCTCCACCAAGTTCAAGGCACAAAGCTCAGACCATCATTTCTGAAATGCACTCGGGTGTAGAGATTCCACTCCTTACTGGCCACTAGCTCCTTCTCTCACGATCTTGCAGCCAGCTCTGATGACCTTTGTGGGGAGAGTCAGAGAATACTTCCTCTTCCTGTCCCACCTCTCCATCCTCTGTCTGGTGCCCAGAGCTGGGGGCATCAGAGCCTGGGGAGGCTGCAAGTCAGAAGATTTGTTTTGCTTTCTGTACCCAGGATCCCATATGGTGCCCCATCCCTGGGGAGAGGACTGACAGCACCCACCCCCACCTTGAGAAGTCAGGGCTCTGGGCTTTCCCGTTGGAGCTAGGGAGAGGGTGGGCCTCCAGTTGCTTGGAGAGCTGGGAAAAGACCGTTGTCCCACTGTCTTCATCAGCAGCTCCCAGCACTGGGTTCTGTTTAACAATGGCCAGGGAGGAGGCTGGCCAGGATGTTATTAACTCTTTCCACGCTGCTGCCCTGGCCCTGAGGGGCCCCAGGCTGGAAGAGGCAGTCTATCATAGGTTACAAAGACCTCTTCCATACTGAACAGTTGCTTCTCCTTGGCCAGAGAGCAGGTGCCCTTTTGTTGGGATTAGGGTAGGGGGCATGAAGGGAAGGGTTGTTGGGTAGGGGTGCTTACGTTTTGGCTGGGGCTCCAGAAGAAGTGGCAGGAGCAGGGGACCTGGCAGCCCTGGGGCTTACGCTGGTAGAGCAGCAGCAGCAGGATGGCCATGATGAACACCAGGGATGAAACTACCCTCCCCCCAGAGGCACAGTCGGGTGCAGCCTGGATCCGGCATGCACAGGCCCGTCTCACCTCCCCAGGTTGGAATTCTGCTCCAGAAGTCGGGGAAGAATGACCTGGCTGGGTCTAGTGCCAGCTTGACATGCAAGGGAAACTGAGGTGCACGCAGCTCCCTTTTTGCTGCTGCATCAACTCCCTGTGGCAGAGATTTGTGCAGAAGAGCAGAGTAGCTTTATCCTGTCTCCTCCTTCAGCCCAGGGAAGGAGCAATGTGTGTAAGGGAGATTACAGAGGGACACACTTAGGGAGGGGCGGGAACTTTTGTCAGGGCAGACACCCTTAGACACACTGGATCTGAGGAGGCAGGGGAGGGCTCTAGAGTCTGAACTCAGACTCCTGTGTCCAGCCCCTCCTGCTGTCCTGGACTATGGCATCGTGGAACTGGCAGAGAAGGGACCTCAGGATCACACACTGACCATACACAGCATTCTTCCCAAGTGGCTTCTCTAGATGACCCTATAGATGAGGAGGCTGGGCTTCCGGACTATGGTGAGGGGCCAAGGGCGCATCTGCCCCAACCCTGAGACTCGGACAGCAGTAGGGACTTACCAGTGGCCACAACTATGGCTAGGAGGCTGTTGTCCATGGTGATCTCTGCATGCGGAGGAGCAGTGGCAGAGGGGTGCCAAGAAAAGGCATCAGCCTTGAGCGACCTTGAGGACAGCCAGCAGGGCCACAGGACTGGCTCTCTCCCCATGCCTGGTCACCCCCCAACCCAGGAACCCTGGCCCACAGGAACAACTTCATTCAGAGCCAGGATATCTGTGAGCAGCTCTCGAGGTTCTTTGCTTCTGCCCCTGCTTGTTATGGTTAATCCCATGCCATGACCTAGTGTCCCCTAAATGGCAATCCCCTCTGCAGACCTGGCAGCCATGAAGTTCCCTCTATAACCTTCAGGAGAGCAGGCTCTGCTTCTGCTAAGCCTGAGAGACAGCCAGGGGCGCGCCAGCTGGCCAAGATCTCTGCACTTCTCTGTCCCAGATCCCCTCCCAGCCCAACTGTGCCCCCCTCCACTTCCCACTGGCCCAGGTAACTGGGCCCTGGATGCCAATTGGCTGTCTTCTGGTCTTGTCACCTCTAAGGGACTGGAGGTGTCCATGGTTGCCCTGGAAACCGGGCACATGTGGGCCACAAAGTACAAAAGCCTCTCTGCCCAAGTTCTCCCCCTCCCTCCAAAGGAATTAGTGTGCAGCTCCGGGTGCCCAGCATGCCCCAACTGGCCTGCACCCCCGCCCCACGTCCCGCCTGGCCAAATCCTGATCTCGACCCCAGGGGCCCAGCCAGAGGAGGATTTCAAAGAAGGCTCAAAAAGCCCAAGCCTCCAGGCTGAGCTACCCTACAGAAAGACGAGGGTAGGATATACCGTGGGCAGAGAAGCGCACTCACACTTGCCTCAGGGACCTGGACAGGGGAGAGGACGGCAGCAGAGGGCCCCCGCCGCCAGGCCTGCCCTACGGACCTGTCAGGAGTTGTGGAGCCTGGTCCCAGTCCTGCAATGCTTCTAACTTATGGGGCCAAGACAGCCCACCAGAGCAGTGGGAGTGGGGCTGGACTTGGTAGTTCTCCCGCCAGCCTGCAAATCAGAATCGCCTAGGGGAGCTTTGAACTCACACCATTGTTGGGTTGCTACCTCAGACCAATTACCTCAGAATCCTCAGGATCACATGCACTGGGCTGGAAGTGCAAACTCAGAATGTTCGCAGCAGGTGACAGTAACGAGTAACTAGGACCTGGGGTGATAGGGTGGGAGTGGCAGGGGCTGAGACAGAGTGCATATCCCGCCTAGCTTCAAAAAACAGGACTTTGAAAACTGTCATGTTAACCTAACAATAGCATAACCACAGCCCAGATTAAACCTGCAGGCTGGTCGGTGAGTCCTTAGCCAGCAGAGTCTACATGTTCTGATATTTACTGCCTGTGCCTAATATGCTGAACCCAGTTATTAATTTTTCTTTTTATTGACCTAGGAGTTGATGTAAAAAAAAAAAAATTCTAGTGACCCACAGTGGAGCTTTAGATGTTTACTAAAATAGGAGCCAGAATAAACAGTCATCTTAGTCCCTGAACCCAAACACTGTTCTTCCTTGGAGTTCTTGCTGTTAGCTCCTTCCTGGTTATCTGCCCGTAGGAGAGCAGGAGAATGGAGTGACAGAGTGGCCTGGAGACCGCCTGCTTCCATCTGAAGCCTGCTGCCACCACCTAATAGCTTTGGGCTCATCAGTTCACAGTTCTCTGATGGGCTAAATGAAGATAATAAAAGTGCCTCAAAGGGCTGTGGGGATTAAATGAGATACTGCACTCCAGGTAAGCACAGTGGCTAAACCAACAAAGACCCCAATGCTGTTATTGGTGGTCAAGGGTGCCCCCTCCTGGCAACTCGGAAAACTTGACATGTGGCAGCCTGGGCAGGAACTGAGCCCTTTGTCCCCCAAGCTCAGCTGATCAGGCCAGCGTGACTGGCTGATGGGGGTGATTTTAAAGGTCTGAGAAACCTTTTCCCTCCCACATTAAGCAAAGTGTGAGGTGATACTGAGCCCTTGCTGACAATGGCAGGAGAGTTGGAGGGAGAAAGGGCTTGAGGAAAGGAGGGAGCCTGGGCAAACCTTTTTACCATGGCCCTCCCAGGTCCTAGGGCAGTGGCCAGGGACCCAAGCCACCGCTGCTCCTGCCTCTAAAGGGACAAGCACCAAGGTAACCACCAGGCCGTGGCTGGATCGGGTCTCTCAAGAACTCAGCTGGCTCTCCCGCTGGCCTACTAGGTGGCAATGAGGTGGTCTCTGAGCCTCTCTGGGCCTGTTTACCCCTCAGAAGAAGAGGGAGCTGGATTAGATGGGCTCTTGCATCCCTTCTGGCTCTTGGATGGATTCTAAACTGTTCTCACTCTGGGGGAATGAGACCTCCACCTTCTCCAAAGCTCTCCCAGCTCCACCAGCTGCCAAAATACCAGCCAAGACTTTTAGGAGAAGGCCCAACAGTGATGGCTCCCTGACATCCAGGAGGAAAAACACAGAGGCTTAGCTTAGAGAGATAGAGATATATTTCTTCTGTTGCATATTTCAGACTTCACACTGAGCTTCAGGCACAACGCTGCTCCAGGTTCTTCTGAGAGCCCTGACAGAGTCTTCTTCCCACGCTGCTCATGAGGGCTAGCTCCTCTAGGGCGGGAGCCCAGGCCCTGCTCGCAGTTCT